GGGGGGGGGGGCGCGGATAGCCCACACCCCAGAGAATTTCTCATTAGCTCAACTTTGTAATTGGCTTATTTTACAGCCATAGAAAGCTTTGGTGAACTTCTACACATTCATTCATCACCTCCCAAGGCCCAAGGCCCAGAACATTCTACATCTTTTAACAAAATGAGCACTTAAGGATAATATTTATCAGATTAGCCATAATATTTAATCCGAAAGTTTCTCTGCCATGTATTTCTCAACATGCACTTCTGAGTAGTAGGTCTTCCATGCAGAACAGCTGCAGGATGGGAGAGATGAAAGACTCAAGAGCACGAGGAACAGGCCAGTCTATTAAATCCCACAGAAACCAACTTCGAAGACTGACTCCCACTAACCTAGTCAAGATCAAGTGATGGGCCATCTTCAAACCTAGATTTGAACAAATCGTAACTAACACACACTTCTCCAACAGATTTATTTTTGAAAGGAATGGATTTTGAGGAGGAAAAACATGGGGTAGAGATATGGAATAGAAAATAAATACAAATGTAAGCTGTTTTGCTAATTGTTTTATAACCACAACAAATTCGTACAGAGAACGCCCTGTACAAAACAACACAATAAAGGTTCAAAGATCGAGGTGTTCCCCTAGGCAAGGCTGAAGATTTCAGTCTCTGGTATTTGGAATTTAGGCTGCAGTCCTTGTTTTTGGATGGATCACTGGGTGTGTGACACAGTCCATGCGATTAACCAGATTTGAACAGAAGAATGGCCACTTGGCCCAGGTAGAAGTAGATGAAGTGTTTGGTTTCATGTGTCACATAACTACCGAAGTTCCTCCCCACGATGCAGTGCCAGGTGGGGTTGTACTTCTTGTCAAACTCCTGGTGGGGGGAGAGGGAGGAAGAAAAAGAGAACACTAGAATTTCAGTGCTAAACCAGAGGTCAGAGTTTGCCTCCTAGATAAGTAGAGCCTGTAGGGGCAGAAAGGAGGAACGTTAGCATCTGCAAATTCTTAGCATGAAAGAATGTTCCCCAGCTCCAAGTCGCCTACATAGTGCATTAATGCAAACATACTTGCAGTCTGAGCTAAGCTGAGAATGGGGGTTGGGGAGGTAAAAGGCAGAAAGGGCAGCCTCAAAGGGCGCTTTGTTATCATGGTAATTTCACCTCCGTATCTTTTATGATATTGTTAATTAACAGCAGGTGATAACAGTTTCAGTCTATCAAGTCATGTGTAAACAGAACAAGTCAAAATTATCCTACTGTAGATCATGCACCACAAAATCCAAAATGGTCACTATTTAGCCGAATATACCCCATTCCTTAGCGCACTCCAGTATCAATGAAAACAAAAAGATGTCCAAAATGGCAAAGCCTCAATTAACATCTAAACCACTGTGTGAAAATTTGAAAGGGGCACAGCAATCCACTGTTCCTACAGAAAGAATGCTAGCAGCAGAATCCGACAGCCACCTGGTCAGATTTTATCCTTGATTGTAATTTCAGTAGCCCTTTCTTCCACATCTATCCTGATGATGCCCATCTACCACCTGGTACACAAGGACAGCAAATTGCAGAAACAACTTTCCCTGTTTTCCTCACCCAAAGGGGCTCTGAGGACCAAAACGCCGGTGATGATTTCTTCACTTAGGCGACTGTAGGGCAGGGATCAAAGCTAACCTTTCTCTATAAAATTCTTACAAGTCTCTGTGATGAGTTACACAAAAGTCGGCTCTTATACAGTGTATGCAGCATGAACATCTTTCAGACCTATTGGTATAACATTCTTACAAGCTAGATGAACGCACTGCTGCGTTGGTCAAAAAAGGTATTTCTGTTCCATCTTAAGTCTTTCATCTCCCTATTCTCAACTGGGAACCCTCCCACGGCTTAGGCTGCCAGCTTCCTTCCCTTCCAGAAAACACAGCTCGGAGAAATTGGCAGTCCTGCCAGCTTTCTACAGAATGCTATTTACCAAGCCCTCACCCCAGCCCCCTAACCACCACCACCACCCACTTTCCCTCAACTGCCGACTAAACTCCCCACTGAAAGACTGGCAACATCTCCCTCCGGCCGGGCTGGAAACACCCACGCAGCACCCCCCCGCCCCTCCGGAACACCCAGATGGATCCTCCGCGCAGGAATCCTGCAGAAGGGGGAATCGCTGCTCCATGATCCTAGAAACCGTTGCTAGGTGGCGCTTTCCCCCCGCGGAGCTGGGTAATAAAAAAACTTCAGGAGCCGAGGGTCTGGTCTTCTCATCAGGAGCGCAAAATTCATCTGCGTCCTTTCTGGAATCCTCTACACCCGAGCTGCCCTGCGTGCCTCCAAGGACCTCTGCCAAGCGCCCTGGGGACGCAGCATCGGGGAGAAGGACTAAGTTGTGATTCGCCCCAGCTGTGCGCAAACGGCTCGACCCCCCCACCCGCACCCCGTCCTCACCTTCTTAATATGGGCCGCAATGTCCTTCTCTATGTTGTATTTCTCCAACGCCTGAGTCGCACACTCCACCGAGTCCTGTTGCATCTCCTCCGACATGTCGGCGTTTTTGATCACGGCCTTTCGGTCACACATGGTTACCTGGGGGGC